ATGACCACCTGGTGCAGTGTGTGGACATTAGCACTAGGAGAGCTCAAGATAGCGAGGCAAGCCGTTAGCCCCTACTAGCCAGCTATGTATTATGCTTCGGCAAAAAATATATATATTGTTGCAAACACCTCCTATAAGAATCATTATGAGATATTTCCATTACATGGAATAAATTTACAGCCTGCTAGCAACAAACCTTTAATTTTACGGAAAAAAACCCCAACGCTGTCAACGTTTATACACGTTGAATCGACTTGCCATTGAGTCCTGTGAACGGGAGCACATATGTGAATGCACGAATTGTTAGAGCTCTGACAAATAACCACGCCATTGCCAAAGTCTAATGAGCCTAAAATATGCGCGTACAAACTGCGTCGAAGTTCTCTCGCACCGTACGTAGCCCACCGTGCTCGACAATGAGTGCCAACATTGAGCTCGTGCTCATTGTCTCAGCAGCCACGCCAACCACGGCACCTCGGCATCGACAGAGCCAGCTGGTGCTGCACACGCGACATCAGCAATTCCAAATCCTCAATTAAAGCATCGGGGAGAATCGCAGTTCAGGATGAAACACACAATTATGTGTATATATATGTACTGCCAGTGCGCGTTGAGTAAATATTGCAACGATCTTAACGGGGGGCACCGCCGCTCGAGGTAAAAAAAAAACCACGGCACGTATCGCACCTCACTTTACTGGTTCCAGCGACAGCTGTTTTGATGCCACTGCTGTGGAAAATGTCACGCAGAGTTGCACGCCGATTGAGCGCCACGTTTATAGACACCGCCAGTCACCTCGCTCGCAAAGCGGCTCGGCGGTGGCGCATTCGCCGCTGTGGAGCAGGAGGTTCGCGGTTCGAATCCGGCAGCCCGCCCTGGTTAATACCGCGGCGTGCGTATCAACCACCAGTGGACGTTGACCCTTAACAGTTGACATTCACGATAGTTAATCGGGAGATCGTGGATAGCTATCCACCGACTCAAAACGAGTAGGCCATTGTGTGCCGACGTCATGGTCCAAACTTGTCAAATTCAAACCAAATTGAGATTTACACATTACAATCTTAGCCCACTACTGGCAGGCACGTGCTCCCTTTTGCGGGCCGGCGCTCAGTCGCCGTGCGCCATACAGAGGGACAGCTGCCACTGCGGGGGTGCCCTTCGAATGTTGGAGATGTCACGTGATGCAAGTTGCTGGGGAAATTGAAGCTCGGTATAACTGAAAAAAATATTGTTATCTATAACTAAGGACGAGCTTGAGGTACTGTTCACGGGGCGGTAGAGTAAACGTCAAGTTCCTGGGATCATGTGAACAGAACGGTGGGGACAGCACATGTCGACGACGATGAGTCCAGCATGGGCTGCAACATCTCGTTCTCTCATTGAATTCCCTGCGTTGTTTCGCATGGACACTGTGCATGTTGTCCCGTGGGCAACGGACGTAGAAATACAGGACACCGCATCACTCGCTCGGCACGCTGACATCATGTGAAATTAATTTGAATGCGAAGTACGCCTATTTAGATTTCCCAACCCCCAACGCTGAACGTAAAAGCAAGATGTGTCATCTCACTGGAATCATTCACTTGAATAACGTGAACGTGATGTGTGAATGTGCAGGGGAGCAACAACGGTGGGGTGTGGCGGGGTGGGGGGTGTGGCAGCGTAACGCGACGCATAGTTGGCCCAGGTGGCAACAAGGGGCCCCAGAATCAACAGATAAACAAAGCGCACACGAAACAATGTTCAGACAAAAATTAGCGTTAACAAAAAAAAATCTGTATTCGTTAACAATTACCAGCCGGTGCTATACCGTGGATCAAGCCGGATTAGCGCGTCTGGCGTTTGTGGCAAGAGAGCAGCGTGGAGTTGCGCAATCCACTAGCCCCTTTTGAGGAAATCAAGACGCACGATAAGTTAATTGTGAGCATTGTACCACACCAGATATGTTTTTTTTATTAATAGTAATACCGTCAAATGTAAATGTATACGGGGTTAAAAACATCGGGAGCTATTTCAGTGAAAGTGAGTCGGGAGAAAGAAGGGGGGGGGCACAGTCGTATCTTGCATATCCTCCCCCCCCCCCCGGTGAAATAGGTAGTGGCGCCCCTTGTGTATGTGTGTGTATGTATGTGTGTATGTATGTGTATGTATGTGTGTATGTATTTGTGTACAGGCATAGATACTGGCCACCCACCCCCTCATGTGCTGTCGGCCATCATAGGTGCTCTCAAACAGCACTTGCTCCAACAGTCTGTTACAGGCTATACGGGGCACCTTTGTCTTTGTCTATGTGTGTACGCAGCAAATGCATGAATGTGCGCGTATTGGGATACTGTGTATATAAATGATACCCAGATAGCCTGGCCGCCAGCCCTTCCCGAGTTTCACAGAGCCAATGGCTTTATGCCTGCGCCCGCCCAGGACACGGCGCGTGAAACGACCCCAAACTGCACATGGTAGCAGCAGCTGCACGGTGACGCATCCGGACCCCCTGGTGACATCGCTCTCAAGAACAGGCCACGGCGCCTCGTTTCGAATTCCAAATCAGAACTTTAAAAAGTATTCAATATTTTTTTTCCCACGACAAAATGGTATTAGGTTTCAAAGCGACGACTTGGCACCTCGGTGCCTCTTGCAAAAGCGATACCTTGTGGTGCCGTACGGCGGGCATCGTTGAGGTTTCGTCTCTAGTATTTTCACGCGGCTTGAACTCACGTGGAGACGCGCTGACAATGGCTAAAACCACCGTACGTCAATTCACGGTCCTGCCACTTCTGTCGCCAATGCTCGCAGATGGCTGATGCCGTAATCAAAGTGACTGAACTTACGATGAAAAGGGTAACATCTTCAAATTCTAGATAAGGGTACACCACTGGCTATCCTAACTCTTTGGTCCTTTCGGTAAAGTCACGTCGTGATTTATTTTATTTTATACCTACGTGACTTTACCGAAAGAACCAATGAGTATGGATTCCTGCAGCCACGAAAGCTTCAAATCAAGATCTGGCTGTCCTGTTTGACACGTAGGAGGCTTTCGCGAACAATATTATTTATAATAAAGGTTTTTTGGGTGAGATTGCCTAAGTATAAATGTGTCGTTAACCCGCTACCATCCGACACAGCCAATCAGTACGGTTTGTCACGTAAACAAAACGTACTAAATTGTTACTACTTCAGCCCACCGGTGTGTTGGAGAGTAAAACCACAAAATGTTAAAACATCGGCGATCCGGCCGATGACGTCTGTGCAATGAGTGACACTTCTGGATGGTCAACAGCGGTCGTCCTCTGAAGACTGACCCCCCCCCCCCCAACCAGAGGAATATAGATGTGTGGTACACGATCATTGCTCACTTGAGCACAGGGAGACACTTTAACTTGCACCGGAACATTCAGTGAATACAATTTATAAAGGTTCGTTGTCATATTAACAACGCAGCAGCCATGTGGATTATGCAGGCGAGTCATGAGTTGATAGCAATAGCCTGTTACAATTCACAAATAAAATAACCACCCTGTAAAATGTTGGGTGGTCGTTTAATTTGGCCAGCCTATCTTGCGAGAGCCTTAATCGGATGATGGTAGATTAGCACCTTGGGCTACGTACGGTGCGAATGAAGTTCAACATGCATACATACATTGCAAAACTCTCCTTGAAACTGCGTGAATTGGAGCACCGCTTGGTATCAAGAGCGAGAGAAATGCGTTTAGGACCCTGCAATCGATCTGGGACTCTTTCTGGTGCCACCCACGCTGCCACGAGCGGTGGTCTCATGGATGGCATGATCACGTGACCTAGCTCATTACTCGATATATGACAAAGAAGAGTCGTGTCGACCAGTATTTGGGATTCGTAAGATCGCTGTGACCAATTCTGGTGTGTGTGTTTATAACACGGCTGAAATGAATACATGATGGTAATTATCCGCATGTTCTCAATGATTTGAAATGATTTAACTTCGTGTTTGTTTTTTTTTACGCAGTCACCAAGTCCAAAAAACGGTGTGGCCCAAACGTTCAAGCCAGAAATTTCAACATATATGAGATATTCTTACGGGTGCAGCAACGTTAGGTTAGCCACATTTGCTGAACGTTCCCTAGTCTATATATACATTACAATTACAAACGCTACAACAGTGGCAAAGAATGATGCCTCCCCGCGAAAGTTTGTGTGTGTGTTTTTTTTTTTTAAAGAACTTCTTGCTGTTGTTTTCCCGTTCCAAAGCAGCTCGGGATAAAATGATGAGAAACGCCGCGAACCGAAATGTGAACAGTGAGTTTCCGAATACAAAGTGGGGCCGTGTGAAGGAAGAAAAAATGATCTCAACACCGCCGGAACACTTGTGTCCACCCCGATCCCACCGCGGTCGACGATTCGGGCGCGGACGCACCTCGCGGGCACCGCCGCGTCGCCGGCGCAGTGCCACAATCCCAACGCTCGTTGCAGCGGGCGACGGCGAAAAGGAAGCAAGAAAATAAAAACGCGCAGACGCACATTACAGGCGATTGAGAATGATCAGTACACGCGAGAGAAGGAGAGGGAGGAGGGGGGGTGGATGGTGGGGGGTCCTGGCTCACACTCGAGACGCGGGACGTACGACACACACAGTGTGGAACCAAAGACAAAGCGATCTACAAACGTCTCGCTGCGCTCACGGGGGTGAGGGGGGGGAGGGGTTAGGATACGGCGCACCGAAGCGGGGTTGGGGGATATATAAATTAGTTCCTTCTCCGTCATCACACTACGGCACAACAGCGTTTATAACACGGACGTTGATTCACCCCTTGTTTATTTACTTAATGCAATCACCTCCTCCTTAAGTCGTTCACTTAAATAATCTCCGAGAAAAAGTGAGGGAGTCCACGCTTCTTTTTGGCGACGTCGTCTCGTGTTGGCGGGAAGGGGGGGAGGCGGCGGTGGGGGAGGGGGCGGGTCAAGGACTCGTGGGGGTCACGGCGCAGTGGGGGTCACGGGAATCAATCCTCCCCCCCCCCCGACTCCCCCCCCCCCCCAGTGTGGCTCCACCCCGTCCCCCTCCGTCGTGAGTCCAGTCCGGCGGTGCAGGGGCACAAGGAGTCATCAGGCGGAGCGCCTCCATGCCGTTGGCTTGCCCACGTTTCCTCAAGCAAGGGGAACTTCTCCTCCCGCCATCTTCGCCAGGACCCATAACCACCCCCACCCCCCTCAATGTCATCCGTTAAAGCGCCGCTTTTTTCAACCCAAAGTCACTGGGGTGCTGGGAAAAAGCGAAAAAAAAAAATGAGCGGTAACTTTTGCCCGTCAACTTTTACTTGACACTGTCGAATGGGCAAAAAATATTTACCGGTGGGGCAACACTCTTTACGTCATCGCACATCGACGCATCTACTCTGTTTTTTCCAACTCAAAAATTTAAGTCAGCATCCGCACCGCGAAAATGAAAAGAGAATGTGCCGCACGGTGCTTTCCCGAGTGTCGCATTTAAGAGGACGATGGCTTTTCTGTTTTTGTTCCCCGCGACCGCGAAGCGTGGCCGGCGAACGCGCTCGGCAGATTCCGACGGACGGAACGCTTGGAAAAACGGCGGCGGCGTCGACGAGGGGATTCTCGGGCCCTTGACGTCAGGCCGTCGCCGGGCCGCCCGGGCCGTCTTCCTCGAGGGTTCGTGCGTGTTTAGGAATGGACGAGGTGCGACGACGCAGCAGCCGTGCCGGCGGTCGGGGGGGCGGAGAGGGGGGACGGAGAGGAGGGACGGAGAGGAGGTGGAGGGAAAGGGGGTGGGGACGTTGAGCAGCGTCGATGTACGCTGGCACACATCGAAAGGCAGTGGAGGCTGAATAACCTGCAGGTGCACAAAGACACACGTTCAACAGATTCATTGATAACACATGTATGCGTACGCATGTTGAACTTCTTTCGCACCCTACGTAGCCAACCATACTAATCGGAGGTGCGGGGTAAGGACACCAAACGAAACACAAAAAGCAGTTCTAGAGAAATGAGTTTTCAATCTAGATGGTTTAACATTTTATAGCCCTAGTAGCTTCCTAATATCGGAAATAAGAGCGACCGAGACAGACACACACACACGTACAGCTGTTCAGGCGTTCCTTTGCTTTCACGTGTTCAACAACTCTATTTTTTCGAAGGGACAGACTCGCAAAATGTACTTCAGCCAAGTCACCTGGCGCACCTCCTTGCCAGGGGGCTTACCAAGTTTGTTCTGAGATTACGGAACAATCTTCCAGTGATACTTTGGTAAAGTCCTTCCATATCTGATTTAAAGTCTGCACCCGAACGCATGGATTCTGCAACACGGTGTGCCGGTTCTCAGCGCTATCCTGATGAGAGTGTACCCCTTGTACATTCGGGTGATTGACAGAGGTCTTCCCACACCGCGATCCGTCATGGCGTCTTGTGAGCATACTTCACCACGCTGGTTGACAGCACAGGTTCGGATATCGGGAATCGATGGATCGGATATCGGGCGTCGAACTGAGATCGCCGGGTTCACGGCACCGCCGTTCAATATCAACGCTCAATAAAATAAAGCGTTTGATAATAACATGTGAGTGGTCTGTTGGTTGTGTCTTTTTTTAAAAAAAATCACGTTCCTGCATGGAGATGCTTGGCCTATTCCGTAACGAGTGTGTGTGTGTGTTTTTTTTAAACCTCTACGTTTAAGCAAGGTGTATTCTAAGCGATAGCTGTGAAATCAGCTCCATAAAATAAACACGATTGTTTAGGGTGACAACAGCTGCCGGGGTCTGCCGAAGGCGCTTCTCCAGTGATATGCCTCATCGCACTGAGCGCCATGCGTGCGTTCAAAGCCTCGGAAACACCTTTACGGGGCGTCTGCCGTGTAAGTAAAAAAAAAAATATGCGCACCATTAGACTGCCCTTAGTGCAGCGCAGTTAAACAGAAACACATTGAACATGCTGAGCACTAAAATGTGAAGCGTTTTTCATCGCGCTGGCATCCACAAGCCATTACTATTGTTGTTGTTGTTGTTATGGGATGTGTTAAAGCTTCCCGTGTCTCGCGCCTGCATTATTACGGAGCTCCACCATATCATCTTTTACGGCTGAAATAAATTCGATTTACTACCCTTTATGATTTCGCTTATTTGCACTTTGCATGTTGTTCTTCCTCTCGCTGCGTGACCACGTGTTTGGATTTTTACGCGCTCTAACCCAAAAAAAACAAACCCTCTAATGTGGGTGATATTGGTCGCGAAAGACTACGTGTTAAACTGTTTGGATTTTGCCCGTACGGTATTTGCTCCCCGGGCGTCCGTTGCAATAAAAATGCATATCCTCAGTAGGCTCTTATCATCATCGTCAGCAGCAGCGACCGTGGTCCATCCACTGCTGGACGAAGGCCTTCCCGAGCTACTGCCGCATCTCACGATCCTGCGATGTAGTAATCCACCCAGCACCTGCTCCCAAAATGATTTCATCACTCCATTTCCTTTGCGGACACCCTCTCGGAGGCGTTCCATCCCTTGGCAACCATTCCATTATTAGTCTTGGACCTCTTGGCCACCATTCTCTTCGAGCGATGCGTCCTGACCAAGCCCTACTCACTTTCCTTAACATATAGATTCATTTTTGATTTAAAGCTTTCGTGACTGCAGGGATTCATATTCTTGGTTATTTCGGTAAAGTCACGTAGAAGGGAAACAATAAAATAATAAAAATATAAAACAATAAAATTCTCACGACGTTTCGACTGCAGTCAAAACTCCGTGAGAATTGTATTGTTTTATATTTTTATTATTTTATTGTTTCCCTTCTACGTGACTTTACCGAAAGAACCAAGGATATATTTCCATTCGTGTCGTTAGCGTGCGCGCGCGTGTTCTCTAACCCGTGTGCTCATTCCCATCTTTAACATCTCACGGTGATGCCAAGCACGCGGTTTTTCCTCCGCGTACTTTTTGCGCACTCTTCAGTTTTCGTTTCCGCACACTGGGATTTGATCTTTTATAATCAAGGTCAGCTTTACCGAAAGTTGCGCGGTCTTTCTTATACAATAGTTTATCACGTACTAATTCAATAAATGTGTTCATTCGTACGTGATATACTTTCCTAAGAGTTTTTATATTGGGTTTGTTGCATAGGCCGTGGGCCTGTGCTCAGCAACTGCGATAAAAAAAAAATTCCGGAGCGTTTCCGCAGAATCTAGCTATTGGTCAGCCAATGAACCCAGGCTCTCTCGACTCAATGCATTACCCTGTTGTACGCTTTAAAAGAAATCGTTAATGCCACGGTGGTAGCAATGATCCCCACTACAGGTTTGCAAGGTCTCTGGTTTTGGACAAATTGAATTGAGGCGCGGAGGCGGGAGGGGAAATGAAATAAATAAAACTATCACAACGCGGTCACATCCCCAGAACAACATGGGCTGTGATGAGAATCAATGTAACTTTTGCTAACCCACGCACCCACACACACACACGCTGGCGACAATAAATACCGAAGGGGGGAAGAAAAGAAAACCCACCCACACACATTTCCATTTATTACGGGAGATCGACAATGTTTCCTCATATTTAGCAAATTATTTTGGCCCCCGCAGAGATGAAACGTAATTATAAAGTGATTTACTCATAATCACGGGCAGTCACATCCTCCCTCGTGCGCCGGCTATATTTATTTATTATAGTCTCTGGGAACGCTGTCCTAAAAGTGTACGTAATGCCATTATAATGTGGCCCAGCATAGCGTACAATGCAAATGAGATGCATAATTAGCCATCGGGCACCTGGGGATGGGGGGGGGGTACACGCAGGGTTACTGGTGGGGGGCTCTGGCTGTCAAGGGCAAATTATGCCACTCTTTTTAACATTCATATATACGTCTCTAAGCATTTCCCCATTTAAACAAAATAGGTGCTTCTGTTTATGACCACGAAACAGCGGTGGCAATTGCAGATTGTTATGGCAGGTGCCAATAAATTAATCGGTAAAAGAACTGTTGACCATGAAGGGATATTCATTGTACTGATCCCGGAGGGATGAAGGGCTCAAGTAACCCTTGACCAATATTTCCAACGTTGGGAATGTGAGTCGAACGTCCTAACCATATTTACATCTGACTCGTTGAAAATAATAAATTACAGATCATATAGCGTCTATCTGGAAATCTAAAGGCGTGTTATAACAATGGTGGTGGGGGGGGGGGTAAGAAGTGACTGTGAGTTAAAGTAGAAAACACCATCTGAACAAAAAATGTCTTCAGGTGGGAGGTGGGACCTCAAGATGCCAACTTAACCGGACTCACTGAGACAGCCTTTGGGCGGAGAGTTCCAAAGCTCAGTGGAGAGAGAATTTTGACAGCGATGTCCCAGAGAAAGGCTGAATAGATGTGGGTGAGGTCCAACCTGGGATTGTTAAATTTTGAAGCCAAAATGCACTTCTCAATCGATGCTGCCCACCCACAATGAGAGCCCCTTCTCACGGCCTCCGGCTCTTTTGTAAAGAGCGATGCCGTCCACAACAGAGTTTTTTGGGCTAACTAAAAAAACGTTTTGTGGATAACATTTAGTCGCGAGAGCCTACCGCGTGTTAAACTGAGCGATGGCATCTCCACTCGCCAGCCCCTTCCAGGCCACATCCTGGGAGGTCTCGTGCGAGCGAGTTGCAGCGAGCGAGATCGGGGGCTCGCACCCACCATCTCGGACGGAGCCGGATAAACAGCTGCGTATCGGACACATTTTAATCAACGCAGTTTAGCAGCGAGCGAGATCGGGGGCTCGCACCCACCATCTCGGACGGAGCCGGATAAACAGCTGCGTATCGGACACATTTTAATCAACGCGGTTTAAGCACAGCAGTCCCTTTTTTTGCGTTCGTATCTTTTTCCTCCCTCATTAAATGCGGGGCCGGCGTGCCGGGGCCGCCTGCAGGTGAAGCCATTAATGAAAGCTCACGGGTTCCAATTCATTTAATCCCGCTGTTAAAATAGCGGGGTGTTTAATTTAAATAATTGGTGTAATTTTATGCCTATTAAAAATATAATATCCGAAAAGCAATCAAAATAAATTAATAAATAACGACACCCCCCCCCCCCCCCCCCCCACCACCGCCTCCTCCAGTGATGTAAGACCATTTCATGCGTGTGTCACGACAGGAAAGCCTACATACGCTGTGAGTGGACTAGTGGCCACGGGAGGTAATGACAGGGGTATCAGTTGTGAGCGCGAAGGGACTGGTGGCTCCTGGAATGATCGAGAAGGGGGCGTGGTCAGGTGACGGAAGAGGACGGCGGAGTCTGCCGGTGGAGCGAGCGTCCAGAATCGGCGAGAATGATCGAGAAAGGGGGGCGTGGCCTCGTGTTGATGTGTGGGGGAGATGTGGGAGAGATGCGCGGGAGACTCGGGGCTGTTGCAGTGGGGGTTTCCGTCTGATGTCAAGTGAAAAAAACGCGTCTTCAATAAAGTGCCATCTCAAGAGAAGCGTGTCAAGTCGTCATTACACGTGCATTTTAAGTGCGTTCGGCGACTTTGTGACAGCGTTCGGGGATGCGTGGATTCGCAGTGCTTAATGAGCAGGCCGATACCGTGAATGCGGGAGGGGGGGGGGGTAACAAAAAACAAGTTCCAAGGGTCTCCCCCAGTCACGTGGGCAAGTGGTGGGCACGTGACTCCATTGACATCGCCGAGCCAGGGTTGAACGACGCTTCACGGCCCCTTGCCCACGCGGCCAGCTATTCCGCACCACGACCACAGCTGACTTCGCACTTTGCGTAGCCACTCGCGACTGTTGGGTTTAACCCATTGAAGGCTATCGTGCATGATACGCTGGAAGGCGTCATCTGTGTTTGAATGCCTGATTACGTCTCCGATTACATCATCGGTTCGGTTTGCCACCCCGTCCGAATGCGTGATGTTCGTTTATTTCATTTTGGACACACGTGTAAAAATTGCACGTGGGTGGAGCAGTGGTGTGGTGAGTCGGCACACCGCGCTCTCGTTAAATCTGTGTGCGCGCGTGTGCGAGTTCACGCCGACTCGGATTCGAGCTCACGCGCTCGTGCTGAGCACACCAAATCAGCTGCGTCGCGGCTCGACTCGCAAGGCTCCGTTGCTCGCTCAGGGGTGTGTGTACAAGCTCGGTGCGCTACAGATTCCCTCCCCATACGTAAAAGAATTGCTCACGTAAATCCTCAAAAGTACTTCGCGTTAACTAATTTCAAAATGAACTAACAGTGCAAATGTTGTCGGTGTAAGATATCACTACAATTACAGGTAAATTGGAAAATAACTAAAACAAAAATAACAATGATGTTGATTTCCCTTTCGACAGAGCCACCCCCTTCAATCTCAACACATTTGAAAGGGGGCACCCCAAGTGGCAGCTGTCCCTGTGCGGCGCATAAGTGACTCAGCACCTGTTCCTGCTGTGATTGCGATTGTGTGTAATGCCAATTTAGTAAACCTTAGGGCAATGATAATGAAAAAAAGTAACACATGTGGCATGTACATTGAGTGTTGTATGTTGAGTGTTATATGTTGTAAGTTGAGTTTTGTATGTTGTGTTGTATGTTGAGGATTGTATGTTGAATGTTGTATGTTGAGGATTGAATGTTTAATGTTGTATGTTGCGTGTTGTGTGTTGAGTGTTGTGTGTTGTATGTTGAGGGTTGTATGTTGAGTGTTGTGTGTTGTCAGTTGAGTGTTGTTTGTTGCTTTGCATGTTGAGGGTTGTATGTTGAGTGTTGTATGTTGCGTGTTGAATGTAGTATGTTGAGTGTTGTGTGTTGTCAGTTGAGTGTTGTATGTTGTTTTGTATGTTGAGGGTTGCATGTTGAGTGTTGTATGTTGCGTGTTGAATGTAGTATGTTGAGTGTTGTATGTTGCGTGTTGAATGTAGTATGTTGAGTGTTGTATGTTGCATGTTGAATGTAGTATGTTGAGTGTTGTATGTTGCGTGTTGAATGTAGTATGTTGAGTGTTGTGTGTTGCGTGTTGAATGTAGTATGTTGAGTGTTGTATGTTGCGTGTTGAATGTAGTATGTTGAGTGTTGTGTGTTGAGTGTTGTATGTTGAGTGTTGTATGTTGCGTGTTGAATATAGTATGTTGAGTGTTGTGTGTTGCGTGTTGAATGTAGTATGTTGAGTGTTGTATGTTGCGTGTTGAATGTAGTATGTTGAGTGTTGTATGTTGTGTGTTGAATGTAGTATGTTGAGTGTTGTATGTTGTGTGTTGAATGTAGTATGTTGAGTGTTGTATGTTGCGTGTTGAATGTAGTATGTTGAGTGTTGAATGTTGCGTGTTGAATGTAGTATGTTGAGTGTTGTATGTTGCGTGTTGAATGTAGTATGTTGAGTGTTGTATGTTGCGTGTTGAATGTAGTATGTTGAGTGTTGTATGTTGCGTGTTGAATGTAGTATGTTGAGTGTTGTATGTTGCGTGTTGAATGTAGTATGTTGAGTGTTGTATGTTGCGTGTTGTATGTTGCTTGTTGAATGTAGTATGTTGAGTGTTGTATGTTGCGTGTTGAATGTAGTATGTTGAGTGTTGTATGTTGAGTGTTGTATGTTGCGTGTTGAATGTAGTATGTTGAGTGTTGTATGTTGCGTGTTGTATGTTGCGTGTTGAATGTAGTATGTTGAGTGTTGTATGTTGCGTGTTGAATGTAGTATGTTGAGTGTTGTATGTTGCGTGTTGAATGTAGTATGTTGAGTGTTGTATGTTGCGTGTTGAATGTAGTATGTTGAGTGTTGTATGTTGAGTGTTGTATGTTGCGTGTTGAATGTAGTATGTTGAGTGTTGTATGTTGCGTGTTGTATGTTGCGTGTTGAATGTAGTATGTTGAGTGTTGTATGTTGCGTGTTGAATGTAGTATGTTGAGTGTTGTATGTTGAGTGTTGTATGTTGCGTGTTGAATGTAGTATGTTGAGTGTTGTATGTTGCGTGTTGTATGTTGCGTGTTGAATGTAGTATGTTGAGTGTTGTATGTTGCGTGTTGAATGTAGTATGTTGAGTGTTGTATGTTGCGTGTTGAATGTAGTATGTTGAGTGTTGTATGTTGCGTGTTGAATGTAGTATGTTGAGTGTTGTATGTTGAGTGTTGTATGTTGCGTGTTGAATGTAGTATGTTGAGTGTTGTATGTTGCGTGTTGAATGTAGTATGTTGAGTGTTGTATGTTGCGTGTTGAATGTAGTATGTTGAGTGTTGTATGTTGAGTGTTGTATGTTGCGTGTTGAATGTAGTATGTTGAGTGTTGTATGTTGCGTGTTGAATGTAGTATGTTGAGTGTTGTATGTTGCGTGTTGAATGTAGTATGTTGAGTGTTGTATGTTGCGTGTTGAATGTAGTATGTTGAGTGTTGTATGTTGCGTGTTGAATGTTGAGTGTTGTGTGAGTGTGCAAGAGGAATGTCCCACACCGAGAGAGAAAGCCTGCGTGTGTTTTTTGTTCGTCAAATAAATTGTGGAAGGAAAATGTGGGTGCAGATGATAAGGACTCACGTGAATCGCAATCGGTCACATGTAGTGCCACTGGGCCTCCATGCCCATGTTCATACCCATCCCTTGCATGGGACCTGCGTGCACACAAGAAGCAATGGTCACCACGGGCGGCACAACAACGAGCCCAGCCTGTTGGCGCAGGGCACACGGTGCGAGCTCAACACGAGCCCAGCCTGTTGGCGCAGGGCACACGGTGCGAGCTCAACACGAGCCCAGCCTGTTGGCGCAGGGCACACGGTGCGAGCTCAACACGAGCCCAGCCTGTTGGCGCAGGGCACACGGTGCGAGCTCAACACGAGCCCAGCCTGTTGGCGCAGGGCACACGGTGCGAGCTCAACACGAGCCCAGCCTGTTGGCGCAGGGCACACGGTGCGAGCTCAACACGAGCCCAGCCTGTTGGCGCAGGGCACACGGTGCGAGCTCAACACGAGCCCAGGCTGTTGGCGCAGGGCACACGGTGCGAGCACAACACGAGCCCAGCCTGTTGGTGCAGGGCACACGGTGCGAGCTCAACACGAGCCCAGCCTGTTGGCGCAGGGCACACGGTGCGAGCACAACACGAGCCCAGCCTGTTGGCGCAGGGCACACGGTGCGAGCACAACACGAGCCCAGCCTGTTGGCGCAGGGCACACGGTGCGAGCTCAACACGGTGGACGAGCACGCCCAGGACGCTCGTCGCAAAGCAGCAGAAGGTGCTGACTTTCCACGTCTACTACTATGACTTTCACGATTTTGATTTTACTATGCGAGGCCCACTGAGCTACGTAGCTCTTTTTGAGAAGCGACCTGGCCACAAACGACAGCTCGACAAAGTGGCTCATAGTGTGGAAATGTATAGCAGCCGAAATACTATGAACGCGTGATGTTGATGAACAATGTGGAGCGAAAAATCGGAGGACCCGGATAAAAATACACGTGACCATGGAGAGAACACGCAAACTCCAAATATACAGACATCAGGGTCAGGGTCGAACCCATAACAGCCTGTATACCAGTCTCATCAGCAGAGTCAGGCTTGCTTCAAGCAATGCTGGTGGACTGCCAGATGTTTAATAAGCAAAGGCCTTCGCTGTTAGATATGGGTCCCAGTTCAACGCAAAACTATATAATGCACAACACAAAACAATAATAAGTGTCGTTGTGTAGAATATACGTAAGGCAATAAATAAGCCAACAATAAACCTATTTCACATAAAGGTAGCGTCAAAAATAAAAGTGTTTGTTACATATCTCATCGGCCACACAGCCTCACGGGAGTGCATAATTTGAGGTTCAAGCATGCCTGACTGCTGATGGGATACTGAATCTCAGCATCGGTCCAGCGTTTGCTCGTGTTAAATTGACGCCTCTGAAATGACGCACAACCAGGAGGCCGTGTGGCCGATGGGATGTGGAGGGCATGGGAACCTGGGAAGAGGCCCTATCGCCTGCACATTTCATGCCGCCACTCCCGGTGAGCTACCCCAAAGAGCACGTCCTAGCTTTGAGAGACCACCCGGGCCAAGTGAACGGCAAGGTCTGGGCACCGGCATCCGCTGTGTTTGGTGTGGAGGGCTGACCAGGTGGACGCACGCCCATGTGCTGCGCTCCGTCCATGATGAACCCTCCCATCGCCGCTCCCTCGGGGCTGTATGCACCTTGTCCCACTGGAGCGACAGGCAGATGAAGGGCAGGGGGGAGGGGGGGTGGGGAAGTTAGCGTCGGTGACCCGGTGATCGTAACACAGCTCCGCCGTCGCATATCCGACCGTCGCATATCCCACCAGGCCGAAGAACCGCCCATACCTAATGCAGTAACAGTGCTTGGTGCAACAGATTTTCTGTAGAAGATCTGACCTTTCCACATGATACCGTAATGGCAAAGTGTTCTTAACCTCGCGTGCGCTCGCTAGCTTCTAAAGCACACGCAAACGTGTTTAGAGCAGCTGGCACTTTGTTTCCGTCCCGTAACCTATTTGTGCACAGCTGCGTGACTGTCATTGTCTTCAGACGTTCACATATCTGACCCTTCCACACATCCAATTACACCTCAGTCCCGAGCGAGTCGGATACTCGACGCACCGCAGATTCCACAGAAAACTCGTGAATTCATCAAGACACCGGCACGGCAAGTTGCGCCGCGATACGACTGCCGCTTAATCGCTGGGTGATACAACTCGGCCGCGGGAAGCTAATCTTGATCGAGCATTACGGCAGAAGCGTCGCAAGCTGTTGGCGTGATGAGTTGAGAGCCATTGGCGGAATCAACAGTGGAGTGAAACCGCACGACAGTGTCATCAACCTGCGGCTTGCAACGTCGGGCGACTTTATCGCAAGAGGACACATTTAAATCCGGCGTCATGAGTGTGAGGCAACCGAGAACAAGCGCGCGATCGTCTGGGAGTTTTCAAAGCGAACGTATATACGAAGACCACAATGTGTTACACGGTCAATAAGTGACCTCAAGCTGAAGCCTGATTTGATGTGATTTGACATTATAATGTATGTTTTGACCAGTGGTCCCAACGGCTGACATTTGTCTCGTAGTATAATTCCCCTCTGTTATATTCTTGTATAATTGCGTGGTTTTTTTTAGACCATCTTCATAACGACTGCCATCATGCGTAAGGATAGCCCTGATCATGCATAAGGACAGATTAGCTCGTTCAATGTAAAGCTGCTTTATTATTACTTTGTGATTATTATTGTTGTTGTTATTATTCCACTTGTTCATCCAGGAAAGCTGCACTGAGTCTCAAGCTCATTTTCAAGAGGGTCCTGCCAAGTATTTCATAGCAGGGGGCGGACGTCGCTGCTGTCCGAAATCCCAAGCGTGTAATTCGCAGCTAGTCTCTTGCAGCTTTGTGACATTAGGGCAACACGGTGGCAAGATGTAAACTCCCTCGCCTTGCATACAGGAGGTCGTGGGTTCGATGTTGACCTTGACTCCTGTATATTAAGAATTTGCATGTCTCTCTCCCCGTGGGTGCATGAATTTTCCTCCGGGTCCTCCAGTTTCTCCCTCCACATTTAGAATCAACATGAGTTTACAGTATTTGGCTGCTATAAATATCCACGCGATAAGCCACTGCGCTGAGCTATCATTTATGGGCAGGTCAGCCCATCATCCCTCTGAGGTCGATAGAATAAGTATCACTCTGCGGGAAGTCATCAGTGGTTCTCCAATGGAGAGACTCAACCCTGCCATCGGAATGGGGAAATTCCACCACTGGTGCGGGGCTGTCAACGAGAGATGAGCAACATTGCTCATTCGAGCAGCGGCAAATCCCTTTCACCTTGAAACCATCGCGTTACAGTGAGGATGTGACGACGTGAGGGTGCATCAGGAGTGGATTCCATTTGATAGAGCCAACACAATGTCTTCATATGACATCGGGGCGACACGGAAGGAGAGATGTTTTCTCCCTTGCCTGGTATGCAGGCAGTCGTGGAGTTTGCGTGTTCTCCTGGTGGTCGCATGCATTTTTTCTCCGGGTCCTCCACATTTTCCCTCCACAATTACAATCAACAAGCGTTTTGGCCGCTATAAATTTCCACATGATGACTAGCCACTTTGTTGAGCTATCATGTGTCGCCAGGTCGCTTCTGAAAAAGAGCCATATAGCTCAGTGGGCCTTACCTGGTAAAATGAAAAAGTAGTAAAATATTTATTTGGTATGGGTGTTTGTTTAGCTACAGGAGAGAATGCGGGGAACCCAGAGGAAACCCCTGCAAGGTGCAGGCGGCCTGTCCCGTCTCTCTGCCACCATAACGAGGTGGGGCTTAAAAATACCACCCAGAAAGAGGCCGGGGCGGGGAATTGTTCTCAGGTCCTTCTTGCTGTGGGGCCAAAGCGTTACCACTGCGCCACACTTATAGAAAATGAACGATAACGTTGACGATAACATATCCTACAGAGATGACAGTGATCCACATTCACCATTATTCTCCGCTCAAAAGCATCTCACCAAGCAACGCGATTCAACTATTTTTTAAAACTATTTTTATTTTATTTTACCAGTTTAGGTCCACTGAGCTATACAATTCCTGTTCAGAAACAACCTGGCCACAAACGGTCCCTGCTTGACAGCGTTCATTCAAGTTCTGTCTTTTTGATAGACCTGTTTCTTCACCTGAAGAAGGCCACTTGTGTTGTGGCCGAAACGTCGTGAGAATTTTATTATTTTATTTCATTCTTTTATTTCCATTCTACGTGACTTTACCGAAAGAACCAAAAAGATGAATCCCTGCAGTCACGAAAGCTTTAAATCGAAATTCTCACATTCTTGGTTCTTTCGGTAAAGTCACGTAGAAGGGAAACAATAACATAATAAAAATCTAAAACAATAAAATAATCATATTCTTGGTTCTTTCGCTAAAGTCACGTAGAAGGGAAACAATAAAATAATAAAAATATAAAATAAAATTATCATATTCTTGGTTGTTTCGGTAAAGTCACGTAGAAGGGAAACAATAAAATAATAAAAATATAAAACAATAAAATTATCATATTCTTGGTTCTCTCGGTAAAGTCACGTAGAAGGGAAACAATAAAATAATAAAAATATAAAACAATAAAATAATAAAAATATAAAACAATAATATGAATCTGATGCTAAGTTGAATTAGAAACCCAAACCAAGGTGGGCCACGAGGACTGCAGTTGAATACATTTGAGCGGGAGTGTATCTGGGACATCTGGTTCGCGATACCAGCCCTACCCTAACCTTAATTAAACTGTATCCGTGTCTAAAGGCCTCTGTTTGTCACAGCGGGCTGTGCGGCAGCTGTTTCACAGCCTCACGTTCACAGGCGGCAAGCCAGTGTCCAGCCGAGCGCACGCAAGCCACATTCACGCTCTTGCGCCTAGATTGGGGCCTCCGGCGCTTTAACTCCGGCGAGTAGCCGGAATCGAACGCATTGTTGTTGTTAGCACGACGGCAAAAATAAGTGTGCACCTTGAGCACGTTTATTGCTGATATTTAGAAATTGCAAAGTGTTATTTTATCTTTCAATTCATGGACACTTCATAATACGTAACAAAAATGCATACTTAGGAGTTTAATTGTGCTGAATGTGTGCAATTCATAAAGTGTTTTAAAGGTTCCACCCACATATTCCACCTAGGTAGACACATTTCAACATCGTCAGAAAGCAGTGGAGATTTTACAAGCTATAGCTCCACATTGAGTGCGATTATGTGCGGAAATGAACAAGAGAAGAAACGATTCATGGTATAAAAACTTAAAAACTAGGATTGGGCTGATGGTAAAGAGAAACCATAATCACGTGGGTGAGAAGAACATAGTCTTGTGTGTGGACTTGAACAGGGAGATGCAGTCAGTCGAGTAGCCATCTGTGACAAAAAGGGCTTTACAGGTTCATGGCTGTACAAAACCAGGCCAAGGTATTTGGGCGAAGGTTTACGTCACTCGAGGAAAGCGACATTCCAACTGGGATAACTGGAAAATTACATTGATAGTGATTTGTCAATCCACTGTTGGGAGTTCAGGCCTCCCAGTGCCGTCTAGGTCATGGGAGGTTGTTGGACCACACCTCACCACGCTGGGTCAGTGCGGGATGATGAAGGGGGGCCTACAACCGGTTGTGGCCAGGAACCGAACTTGCTGACCCGCCCAATACTGGACACCTGTGAAACAGAGCTTCATAGCTCATCGGATTCCTCCAGTAATAATAAGTATTCTGAAAAAACGTTCTTATCCTGAGATGCTCAGGGGAGGGTGGGAGATACGACAGAGGCTGTGGGGCGGTTGCGTGGTTAGAATCCAGTGGCCGCTCCGGTTATTACTGCGGGCGTATTGACCATAAAAATGCGCGTGAACGCTGCTTCGCGGCGGATGCTAGAGTGCCCGCTGACGTAATTCGCAAGAGTAGTGCCGTTGTGTGCCGGCGTCAGGGATGCAATTTTGCCGAGTTCGAAAAATGACACCGCTAACTACTCAATTGGGACTATACACACCGGCGGCGGCAATCGTCACGGCCTACCGGTAAAGGTGTGCCCCAGTATCGCTCTTGAAAATGAGACTCATTCTGGTCTCATGAGTTCCCACAAGTCTATACAATGTAACCGTGCACTTGAGGAGGAAGGGGGGGGAGGAGAAGGGGGGGGGGGGTAATCTCCCATTGACCGATTTGTATTTCCAGAACAAGGCAATTGTTTACATGTAACTAACATGTCGCCGCTATATTTCTAACATGTCGGTGGGCGCACACGTTTTATAAAACACAAATCAAAGTGCGACAATTTGCACTAAATATGCATAATTACAGTAATGGCCATAAACCGCCGCTGTGTGGATTGAATCATGAAATGAATGAATTAATGAACAAGTCAATGAATAAATGAATATCTTCGCGACGTTTGTGCGCAAGGCAACAACGAAAAGCAGAGCGGCTCGTGGTTTCGTGCACCGGCGGATGTGGTCGTCTCACTGAGGCCAAAGGGCCATGACAGGATAGCGAGCCAAGCGCTCACCAAACCGTGCGTTCCAATTCATCCACAGGTGGGCAAATGAACAAACACCGGCAGGCCAGGCCAGTCCCCTTCTCGTTCCGAGACATCGGCAAGTCGCGGGGTCTGGGTGTCTCGGAACGCTCAAGAGGCTCGTGTTCGTTTTATTTAGAGAGGCGTACAGGCACCATTGTTT